TTCTTCTTCTTCTTCTTCTTCTTCTTCTTCTTCTTCTTCTTCTTCTTCTTCTTCTTCTTCTTCTTCTTCTTCTTCTTCTTCTTCTTCTCTTTTTTTGTACTTCTCTTTTAATATTTGGGTTTTATCTGCCCTTAGAAAAAAGGTTTAATTTCAGCCAGAGCTGAAACCTGGAAGCTATTTTGATGGCTTCGAACCGCCTCTGAATACATATCTGTCTTTGTTTAGAAAGGTTTTGTCTGTAGTTTTTACAGGATCAAGCATAAACGGGCTTTATGAGCACTTACGACCATTTGTTTAGTGACGGTTTGAAATTACAACCCCCTCCCTGCTGAAAATGTGACTTACAACCGGTCCTCGCACTTACAACCGTCGCAGCATCCCATGGTCACACGATCAAAATTCAACTGGCATGGTTGCAGCATCCCGGGCTCATGTGTTTACTCTTGGCAAGATCCCCCCCCCCCCCGGCATCTGACAAGCAAAGTCAATAGTGGATTCGCTTAACAACTGCATGATTCACTTCAACGAATGTGGGGGGAAAAAAGGTTGCAAAATTGGCCATGATTCTCTTAACAACCGCCTTGCTTAGCCACAGAAATCCTGATTCCGGTTGTGGTCAGAATTTGAGAAATCTCTAGTGGCTAACAAAATACAGTTCCATTTTTCCTGCTTTCAAGGTATTAGATATGCTGCTCTTACCTGCTCCTTTTTCAGACCTCAAATGTATCTTGAATCTCCACCACGTATCTCCCTTCTCTTCCCTTCTTCCACTCGGATGGTATTTGTAAAATCATGGAGAGCATACATGAGGAGTCAAATGATTGAAATCTCTACCCTCTTCTTTCATTCTTTGTGGTTTATCAACACTTTGGGGTCCTGGGCGGTGTTCAACCCCCTCCCCCCCACATGGGCAGGTGAGCCCTAAAGTTTTGAGCATCAGTCCAGACAGATATTTTTGGTTTTTGATTCCTCTGCTTCCTTTCTTTTAAAAAAAAAATTATAAGGTAAATAAAACAAAGCAAAAGTTAGAAAGCTAAGAAAGAAAAAAGGAGGTATAAAAAGGAAGGAAGGAAGGAAAAGGGGATGAAAGGAAAAAAGAAAGAGAGA